TCTCTTAAAAACTTTTAATGTTAATTTTTGAAGATATAGATGATACGATTATTATGGTTTTAAGATTGTTGTCAACTTTTTTTAAAAACTTTAATGTTAATTTTTTTGCCACACACATTTGCCTAATTTAAAAAAAAAACAGATTTCAAATTTTAATATATAACATTTCTTTTAAAGATGATATTATGACTACCGTGCAACACATGATTGGAACGTTAGTTTTTTTTTTTATCTAGAAATAAGTTAGTACCTTTTTAAAAAAAAAAATTGTTATATCTAGGACTTGTAGTAGAAGTTTTTTTAACAATTATGTTTGATTAAATTACAAATTTCGTCCCTACAGTTTTATAAAATTATGAATTGGGTTTCTCCAATAAATTAATTACAAACATTATCATTATGGTTTTAAGTTTGTTATGGATCCCTGACTCCCTTTAACATTACCTCTGTTAAATTAGGGGTGATATTGTCTTTTAACCAATTGATTAAAGAAACAATTTAAAGCTCCAATGAAATGCTACCATGTGTCCATCCATCCCTGTTCTCCCCATCTTTCATCGAACCTCTTCACCACCATTTCCTTCGGCCTCCTTCCTTTCTATGAATATTTACATATTTATTCAAAGAATAGTTGTACAAAACTTATGTAAATCAATACCCAAAATCCAAATGAAAATCCTAATTCCAAACCAAAAAACTGTAACTTGGATAGCTTACTGTTCGTCATTTGCCTTTTTGTACAGGGGTTGTGGAACTCTTCAATTCTCAGGATCTAAAGTGGGTTGTTTGAGATGATCTAAACCTAGGTTTTAAGGGCAATTCCAACCTTCACATAAAAAAAAACACCAAAAACACAAAATCTGATGGGCCCATAAACAAAAAAAAAACTCAACTCTAATCATACTCTAAAAAAAACACCAAACTTATGGACCCTACATTAAAATAACATATTTTATTTACTATTTTTAATAACAATATTTATAATTTGTAATACATATTATAATATATATATATATATATATATATTTAAATAATAAATATAAAAAAACCTAAAACTTAATATTTGTAATTATTTATTTATTTATAATTTATTTAAAGAAAAAGTGGTGGGGACCAACCATTTGGCAAAAATGTCGTTCACCTTCTTCACGGCAAATATGCCGTTCGTTTTCACCTGCCGGCAAAAGTTTAGTGTTTTTGGCGGACGATTGGATCCAAAAAAAGCGCAAAACTAGGGTTTTACCGTTCGATTGGAGTTGCTCTAAAGGGAGTTTTTTTGTTGCTTCCAAGGATAGTTTCTGTGAGGAGTATTGGGTTGACATTAAAAAGGATATGAAGTGGGGTTTATGGGATGATGGACTCCATGGGTTTAATTCAAAGACAATAAAATTGGAAGATGCCATATTTGTAAGAACACAAACTAAGTTGTAGGTATGAGGAATGGGTTCGGTGGAAGTGGGTTCAGTTGGGTTGCAGGTGTGAGGGAGGGTGTTCGATGGGTTTAGGTGGTCTCACGTGCTGTTGTTGTTGGTGCTAGGTGGTGGCAAAAGGGGAACCAGGGTAGAGGAGATGCGGCGGTTTGTGGTGGGTAGAGGGTTGGGTTCACGTGAGATTAAAGATTTTTTGTGAGACCCGTAAGACCAATATATGTTCATTGATCAACTTTATAAGCTAATGATCTAATGGTCTAAAGTTGCATGGTGACAATTTTGTGATTATTGAAAGTCTCGTGGCGTTTATGAATGTATAGATTGTCAGATTGTATAACTAATCCAAAGGTTGAGAAATTGGTCTTACGGGTCTTACGAAAAACCCTTGGTCTCACATGATCTTAAGTCTCTCTTCTCTCTCTCTCTCTCTCTCTCTCTCTCTCTCTCTCTATATATATATATATATATATATAGGCCTAATCAAATGAGAATTAGATAGTTTGTGGTAACTGTAAGGTATGAGCCAATTATTTTAGATAATTGTGTTGATTATTCAACTTACTTTAATTAGTTTAATATTCCAATTTACTTTAATTAGTTCAATTAGTTTAATTATTTTAATATATGTATACACACACACACACACACATGGACACAGAGGGACCAAATCCAGTGGCCTTCTCCGGCACCCACCACCACTCCACTGACCTCCTCTGGTCATCTTGTCTGATCAAGACGCCATATCCGATGATCAACTACTGAAGACCCACCTACGACAGTGGTATCATAGTGGTGTACCACAGTGGTACCACAATTGGTGTCACAGTGGTCTAAAAGTTTACCTGGTATGTTTTGGGTATCACATTGTGTATCTTGATGTATTTTTGGTATCACATGGTCTTCGTTGGAGGCTGGAGGTAGGGGGCAGAGAGAGAGGGAAGAGATAAAAAATTTAAAAATACCTAAAATGCTCTTTAACTATAATTTTAAGTCAAATTACCAAAAATATTAGTTTCCTAATTTATCCATTAATTTGTGGTTGAGATTGGATCTCACAGTTATCACAAACTAATCAGTTTCTTTTTGAATGGACCCATATATATATATATATATATACATGTGGAAATGTTCAAATGAGAACACTTTCATTTTACAAGAATTCGAGAACACCCTCATGTGATACTATTATTCCATCACATATGATACTAAACCAGAGACGCAGGCGATATTTGATGCAATCTTTATTGTGGGTCAAGTCGTCCTTACACCATTAAGCCTCTCACATGTATTATCACATGTGATAAAGGTGTCGTTGATATGATACTATAATCCATGAAGACCATCACATGTGATGCTTAATCATAGACGCAGACAACCTTTAGCACGAACTAAGTCGTAGTACGCGTCATTCGCACATCACAGGGTCCCCTCATGCGTATTATTACATGTGATAAGGGTGTTCAGACGTTCTCATAAAATGGAGATGTTCTCGTTTGAACCTCCACCTCTCTCTCTCTCTCTATATATATATACGTATATAGAGGATTGATCATATGAAAACCGTCCTCATTTGTGTAAATCGTGCAAACCACCTTTCATCTGTCGATTTCATTGTTTAATCTTATGAAATTTTTTCATGAAATTGTTTAATCGTGTGAAATTGTTTCATATAATACTTTTTTTGATGAAGTTGTTTCATATATGGCTGTGAAATTGTTTCATATAATACTTAATGAAACTGTTTCATGTATTTCTCTAACATTAATGAAACTGTTTCATGTATTTCTCTAAAATTAAAATAATGA